GGAGAAAAACCACAGAGTTTTTTTTCCAACACAGTACTGAATCACTGAGAAAGAAAGATATAATACGTGTGGAATTATACAATCAATAAACTATGAAATTTACCAACAGAAAATGATTGAAAAAGGGTGTGGCACGTAACAACCCTAACTTTTGACGGTTTATCTGTCAGCCTGCAGATTAGTCGATCTGACATTTTGTTTGTTATCATTTTTCCTACATTCGAAATCTCCTTAACGACAGAACCAATTGTGATGAAATTTGCGAAGCAGGAATACCTACTGATGGGCCACAATAGGTAATGCAATATTTTTGAAAACCAATTCGCCAATGGGCATCGCCGTTTTCGCGTCCTTGGATATTGTTGTCACATACAATCAGAAGTAATACACCCAGAGGTTCCTTCACCAGATCGACTACGTCAGCAAGCTATTAATTTCCACTGAACCATGCATTGTTTACAAAAAAGACAATTCACTGCAGCACGCTGACTATTAAAACCTCCTTTTCACCATGCGGACCCCGCACGAATATAAAAAGGATAATCCACTTTGCACACTAAACAAAACCCGGCGCTGCTATTGTCCCTTTGTGAAGGGCAGGAGGGTGCCTCATCGTGACCCTGCATCTTGTCGGATGGAAAGTGGGCACCTGCGATGTGGTTTGACACATATGGTGCAGGCCAGCATCAATGCACCACCCCAATGCAGATGAAAGGGCAAGGGATCAGAGCATATTGTTGAGTAGTTAGAAAGCCTTTAATTTTTCGTTTGCACCAGATTGGTACATGTCGTAGCGCATATGGTTGCATCTTTTTCGGATGATAAATCTGTTTGTAGTCATCAGTAACACAATAAAAGTAGGTAGCACTAAAAACCTTCGCAAATAATGAATGATCAATACATGACTTCACTGAAAGAATGCCAATTCAGATACAGTGTGATGTGTATTAGATTACATTTTAACAACCAATGTATATATATATATATAAAGTACGTATGTATTTTATTTAACCAAACTACACAACAGTGTATATGGCAAGTCATATATACGAAAAACATTTTAAAAAGGCAAACACTACAACAAATAGTATATAGTTACAAGAAATACCATTGCTAAAACACCTAGAATTCGGCATCTAAGTATTCATTTATTGGATAGAAAGAGTTGCTATGCAAAAATAATTTCACACTGCCCTTGAATTTATTATAATGTTCTGTTTTTCTCAGGTAATTAGGTACTTTATTTAATAAGATCACACAATTATAGTATCGTGACTTCTTATAATATGATGTAGCGTGATTTTGTATAGCTAGAAGATTGGTGTTTCTAGTCTGATATGTGTGATGATACCCTAAAGTTGTAAAAATATTCTGGCTTGCTTTAACAAGGGTAACACGTTTAAAATGTATATTTTGTTGTTGTTGTTGAAGATTTATTTAGCATTAATGCTACAATGTCAGTTTGGTATAATAATTGGCTTACATATTTTTCTTCAATCCATTTTCTGTAATTTTGCATTATTGTCTATTAAAATTACGTCACTATGTATTTTGATTATTCATAAAGTGATTTTTTTTAATTTCACCTTAAACATTTTTAAATTCGAACTTCGTTTAATATTATTATTCAATTTATTAAATTCAAATACTCCCTTTTGAAATATAGATTTACTAGTTATGCTACTATTACAATTTTGCAGATGAAAATCTATACTGCCTCTAGTTTCGTAGTTATGACAATGACTATTTAATTTTGTGAAGCTCTCTAAATGTGGTGGTAATAAATGATTTTTTAATTTGAATATGAAAACGAGAACTAAATAATATATGAAATTTTTCACATCCAACCATTGCAGTTCTTCTAACATTTACTTAATTCTAGTATATTTGTTTTTATTTAAAATGATTCTCATAGCTTTATTTTGTGGAATTTGTAATTTTGAAAATATGTTCTCATTTGCTGCAAACAAGATGGTTGAACAAAATAAAAAATGGGGAAGAATTGTAGATACACAATTTTTTGGAATACATACTAAGATTATGGGATTATAGAAGTAATTTATCGTTTTCGATATTGTTTAGTAATGTATTTATAATGTTCCTGACACAGTAGCTTACAATCCAGATATATACCAAGATATTTAAACGACTCGATACTTCACTTTTTTCATCATTAAACATGAGCCTAATTGTATTGCCACCTAAATGTTTCCCTATTGACATACATTTTGTTTTATTAGTGTTTAATTTAAGGTTATTGACATTTAACCAATTCATAATTTTTTCAATATGACTATTTAACAGTTCTAAAGTAGTGTCCAAATGCTTATGTGCTATATATCTAAAATGTCAGAGATATCGTTTATATAAATAATAAATAGTAACTGCCCTAATTTACTCCACTGTGATACCCCTACTGATATATTTTGAACACTTGACATAATATTTTCAACTTTAGTTTTTTTACTTCTATTTACTAAATAATTTTGTAAAATGTATAATAAATATCCTTTAAAGCCATAGTGACGCAATTTCATTAACAATTTTTCCCTATCTATAGTCTCAAATGCCCTTTTGAAGTCAAAAAATATTGTTACAATATATTCTTTCTCATCTATACTTCTTCTCCAGTCTTCCACCACCATTTGGATTGCCGTTTCTGTGGAACCTTTTTTTCTAAATCCAGCTTGATTTTTTGTCAAAATTTTGGTTTCTACAATGAATTCTATGATTTGTACGTATATTATCCCTTCGAACAGCTTCTCTACATCGGGCAAGACATTAATCGGTCGCATATTTGTACTACAGCTGAGAATGTTGAACTTTTGGCACAGGAGTAATGGTGGAACACTTTAATTTTGATGGGAATTCACCATGTACTAAACAATGATTCACCAATAATAATAATTTCTCTCCAATTATATTGAAACAATCATTTAGAATATTATTTGAGAGATTCTCACTTGGATTGTTATTAGATTTCAATTTTGAGATAGCTTTTCTTAGATTGTTGATGTTAATTGTCCTAAATTGCTTCATTGATGAATTCTGACATACTTGTAATGGACATAAGTTTGGATTACCGTCATCAATCGCGTTCACTATTTGATTTACACTTTCTATAAAATAAGTCTTCATTCTTTCTGCTATAGGTAATTAATTTGTCTGTCACTACCCCATCTTCGAAACGCATTTTAGATAATTCAGTCTTTCTATTACGAGAAACAATATTCTTTAATGTTTTCGACATCATTTTAAAATTATTTTTATTGCTATCAATCTTCTCATCATAGTATTTCTTGATTTTGTATATTGTTTCCAAACATTTTCACTTTGGGTTACTGAAAATTTTCTGTAGTCGTTATCGCGTTTTAATTTAGACTCCTCGAATATCTGTGAAAACCAGGGTGTTGGGTTCACTCTTTCATATATTATTTTCTTGACCATAGCTTCACTAATATGTTTATCCATATTATTGATAATTTTTTCGAAGTAGTTGTCAGCATTATACAAGTCAAAGTTGACATATTATTATATTTAAAGACTTGTCGACAACTTTCAAGTGACCTTATGTTGTAAATAAGCCTCAAAATTCATTATTGAGACACAAACACTCCCGCACTCAGCCTCGTCCTTCCCACGCCATTATGTTGTATGATACGAGTATATGAGAATAGACTATACAGGGTGACTTCGAAGTTGAGTCATTTATTTTAACAGTGAGTAGATCTGATCAAAAGAAATGTTTTTTTCCTTTACCATTTTTCTGGTAAAATTAAAGTAACAAAGTTATAGCCCTTTGGAAGTTTGAGTACTGCCCTGTCTCAATAATAAGATGTTCGTGTTTGGCGACAACGGATATAATCCGCCTGACCGGTTCATCGCATCGGAAACAAAAAAGCGAAAGAATTTGAAAGGTTTATCACGATGTTTTTCGTCAGTCGATAACGCTTTATTGAATAGTAGTGTTTGTTGCGTGGTTCAAACGAAATCAAAAATGGCACATGTTTACGAAAATGCTGAACTTGTGGACATGATTCTTATTTACGGGGGGACAGTCTTTACAAAATGCTCCCGGATGCATCACGGATTTATGCGAATCGGTTTCCCAATCGAGTGCAACCAACCCCTCGTGCCTTTGTTAATGTAGTACAACGGGCTCGTGAATCAGGTGACTTAAGACCTCACAGGTCAGGGCATGCTGCTCCAAGACCGCACGATCAAATACAGGTCCGCACTGAAATACTTGTCGGGACGATACTTTATTAAACAAGGTAACATTTTTTTTTTATTTATTTTTTTATTTTTACACACATATTTTGGATTATCTTCCTTCTACAATCACTATCTGAAAATTAATGACTCAACTTCAAAGTCACCCTGTATAATACACAATCAAAAGATCCTTTTGATCGAGAATGCTTGTCATTTGTAGGGTTACATAAAATGCTTTACTAAGTTGCTCACATTATATGTTATCGCATAAAAACAGTCTTAAGTTGGAAAAGGTACCCCCAGCATTACTGAGTAATCTGAAAGTTACTGATCTGGAAAGTGATCGCTGAATTATGCCTGTCTTGTTCTTATTCGGTACTAGCCTATTGCGCAGGCCTCATGCGCTGATCTCATCTATCTGTATCCTGATGTTCTACAGTTCCTCAATATTCACATTCATATTTTCTAAATATGGATAGAAACGTCCTTTCCTGGCAAAAGGGTCCACAATTAGTTCCCTTGCCTGCTGGAGACGATCAGAGATACTTACCCATTCCGATATAATCTTAATTTTGATGTCGATGCGGAACCCAGGAATCCTCCACCAGACAATTCTTCCAAGGTTGTTTGTCGTCACCCTGCCGCGTACCCCTGAATGCCAGACCTGGTGCTTTGCAACATAGTTAAAGGCTTTCTACACTTTAGGATGAATATCAAAGTTATCAGGTGACTTGAAAAGTTTCTGGACTCTACATGAAAGAATATTAATTGAGCTATGAAAATACCTTTGTTCTGCAATGTAATCTCCCTCATGTTCAATGCATTTTCTCCTGAAGTGGTTTTCTGAAAGCTCTTCAAAATACTTGTCTACCGCTATAATAACTTTTTCACAGGATTCTTGAAGCATGAAAACAAATGAAACTTATTCTGTCATTATTAAAGCGCTTCTCTGAGCAGGTTCATTGTCCCTACAGAATATGAGTTTTGTCTTCTGCGAACCTGATACTTTCTCCCGAATTTCAAGAATCCAGCTTATCAAAACAGCTACAGTAATGCTCTGTTGTTATGGTTTGTTTTGATTTTCTACAAGTAACCTACAAATACCATTTGCCTGCTTAAGAGCAGAACAATCAGGTTTAGTCCACTGTGCGATTTGATGTCCCAATTTAGGGTGATAGTGGCAAGCCCAAGTATCATCCATAGTTGTAAACCGACGCATGAAAGTGTATCCTTTGCAAATTGACGCAGAGTTTTACTCGAATTCGCAAAATATGAAACACAAGCTCATTCCAGATGCTCGTAGTATCTGCAATCCTATACAATAGCCATGCGTTCATTAACTAAAACTATACCTACCATGTATAGAGTCATCGTTGATAGCAGTTTTCTATTGCCCATTGTGTGCTTTGTCATGGACGTTTGTACTACGTTTAACTTTAGGAATCTGACTAAGTACTATTGATCGTATAAATTTCATCTCTGTTCAATCCCCCTGCATGAATGAATACTTTTGATTTTTTTTATTTTCTAAGAATGCACGAATTGAGACTACTTCAAAGCACTGTAGAAAGAAAACTATTCATATCAGCTTGAAACTTCGCACGTTTTCATAGGGAGTGCCTAGTAGTCCAACAAAGTAATATGATTTCTGATACCAATACGCGAATCGAAAAACTCATCAACTTGTCGAGTGAGAGCTAGAACATTTTTCTATTGTTCCTCTTCATAAGAAACACGTTTATACAAAATACCATATTAGAGCCCACAAGATAAAAGAGATGTCCTCATTACATCCTTATCTACAACAATAAAGACCAAATATCAAATCCCTAAAATCCTAAAAGCATTTGTGAAAGCTTTCATAACCCGACATAAATTAATGAGTCTCATTTGTGAAACAAAGCCTAAACAAAAAGCGGCAGAACACGCTGTGAAAAACATAGCATATACAATATTACACAGCAACTCAACTTCCGACGACATGAGGCATGGGCACATCGCTAATTTATATTCATCGATTTGTACATAAATAGCAGCACAAATTTGAATGCTATTTCAAAAACATTTCAATTTAGAACAAACTATGTTTTTTGTTCTATTGATATGAAACAACTGTATCTTGATAGGATAGGCACTCACTGAAAATTCTAGAATCATCTGTACCAGTAGAACAAGTTTTAAGAAGTAACGCTTTTTAAAAGAGTAAAGTTGTGATTGTTCTTTCTCATTTGAAATTTATTTTGTAGACCAAGATATCTATAATGTCAGAAAAAAAAGTGTGCAGACGGATTTAACCATATAAATATATTTGTGAATGTAAATGAAAGGTCCTTTATCTAAATTTACAAAAATTTTGCGATGTAACTTTTTTGTTAACCGTCAAAGTTCTGAATATTAACTTTTTCCCATGTATTCAGTATTGGTAAAACTGCTGAGGAGGAAAGTTTTAGATCACGAAAATATCTTCAAAATGAAAAATGAAAACTTATAATTGCTACAATTCTTTTTAAGTTAATTGTAATTTGATTATCCACAACTTTTCTTTAGACCACCTAGACCACTAATCTATACATTTTTTACTATAATAATGAAGTGATTTTTCCAGATTTGACGTTCAACAAAAAAGTAATCCAACTACCTATAGTATATTACATACCTTGGTGACGAAATATGCCATTATTGGCAAAGCATAGCGCCAAGGACTGTAATGTGCAGGGATAATAATGACCTTCTCCATGTATGTATAGAATCTTTTCCACTACAAGCTATCATATACTAAGTGACATATAAATCCGAACACCCAGTTTAAATGGTTTTATTTTAATAAAATTTTGTATAAGTACTTAATGAAGCATAATAAGTAAATGATAAAAATTTCAAAATGATTGCACTGCTTTAAAGCCCTTTGACCTTTAATAATGTTTGGATGCACCCTGATGTGCTACGCATTCTCCAACGCGCCTAGGCATGCTTCTGATCAGGTGGTCAATGTCCTCCTGTGGTATCTCATTCCAGGCAACCACCAACTCCTCTCGAAGTGCTTCTAGAGTCTGAGGAGGACGTTGCAAATTGAGCAATCTCCTACCCATCATATCCCACACGTGCTCAATTGGGGATAAGTCGGGAGATCTTGGTGGCCATGGTAACAATGTGACATCATTATGTTGAAAGAAGTCTATTGTGACTCTTGCAACATGTGGTCGGACATTATCTTGTTGGAAAGTTGGATCTGCCAGGGTGTCAAGATAGGGTAAAAGATGGGGTTCTAGAACTTCGTGGATATAACGCTGCGCGTTCATGTTACCTCTGATGAAGATTAAAGGTGACCTGGAACCATAAGCTATAGCACCCCAAACCATAACTCCAACAGTGTGATGAACATGTCTTTCAACAAAAAACTGTGGATTCCTCCTTTCACCACGTCGCCTTCTAACCCTGGCACGACCATCGTGCATGCCTAAACAAAATCGAGACTCGTCACTAAGGTCTTCCGTGTTCTGCAAACCATTCATTTGCAATGGACCTGGTAGTGGAGAAACGGTCCCTTAAGGCCAATAATCTTAGGCGGCGATCTTCACGGTCTGTTGTTCTACGGCGGCGTCCAGTGCCCCTTGCTCTTTGCGTACGGCCTTCTCGAAGACATGCCTGACAACACCTAACCACAGTGTCTACACTTTTTTGCACTCTAACTGCAATTGCCCGAAAAGAGAGTCCAGCTTCCCGAAGTCGCACTATACGGCCCCTATCAAACTCACTAAGTTGACGAAATCGTACAGGTCTCCGTACTCTAGGCATCGTAACCGATCGTAAAGGATGTCGAGAACCAAAATCCGCCAACGTTGATTCTTTACTGCGGCTGAAATATTCATTTTTAGAGCGTTAGTGAATTAAAAAAAAGCAGTATAAAAACCGGAATGTCCAACTGATAAGGCTGAAAATTTTTTCACTTGTTATTTACAGTAAGATAAATTCATTCACAAACTTTTATTAAAATAAAACCATTTAAACTGGGTGTTCGGATTTATATGTCACTTAGTATATATCACCACATGTAATTTGATTAGACTTTAAATTATATCATATATGAGAATTTTCTTAATGTGCGGATAAGGCACATGGAATGTCTGCGTCATCGAAAGATGCGTTTGAGAAATCGCTGTCGCATGATAGAATCTTATAAAGATATAAGATGCTACGTACGTCGACACACCATTCGTTTCCCACACGTTTTGAAATACTCCTATTTATAAAGTAACCTGAGTCTTTCAAGCTGTCAAAATAGTGGCATAAATAAATTCAATCAACAATAATTTTGGTTATAAAATAGACTCTGTGTTGACTTGTAGTAAACAATAAATAATTATTCGTAATATTCAAGGATTGATAAATGGTTTCAAAGCAGTGACAATTATCTTCACAACAAGCCAAAGAAGCTCTACATAACTGCACACATTCATTATTTACCTAGGGAGAAAAATGTAAGCTCTCCATAGAGGAATCCAGTAAATAACGGCGCGTTCTCAAGTAAGTAGTAAAAAAAATTGTATGTCATATACCCTTAATTTCATGATTCCATTGTAAAATCTGTCTTTACAATATTTTCTGACCAAAATGCCTGATCTAGTGTTTCTTTAACGTGTCGAGGTACGTATTCACACAGTAAAGTACAGACGATTCAAGATCCACAGAAAAAATATTTACCAGTTATTTAGCAATAATTTGAAGATATTTGTGAGATTAGGAGTTTAAATCTTAGCAATTTTAGGGTAGTAAAATGGAGCGCACCATTTCGTTAGTAATAAAACATCCATATTATGACTAAAATAAAAGATGATTTTTTTACAAATAAAAAATGGTTGCATGACTTGTGTTTCACGGTACGACGCATATTGTTGTATAGCTTTTGACACATTTTCACCAAACATTTTGTTGTCTTAGAACCCCCTCCCCCACTAGTTTCGCCGTGTCGCCGCGTGTGGCTTGCTCCCAAGGTCATACAAATATTCAAAATAGTTTTTAGAGATTGGCCTTGCTGTGTATTATTGTATATACTGTTGTAAAAAAGGGCCAAAGGCGGTGGATTCTTTTGCTCGATTAACTTATGGTGTCGGTTCGAAAGCATATAGTGGGCTGCAGATTCATGCCCATTAATCATTTCACTAATGAAACAGCGATTTTTAGGGCACCAACAGAATCTTTAGGGGGTTAGATTGATTGTAGTGTAGGAGTAGCACTTTAAGAAGTCGATCGCGGAATATGAGAAAAATCATCAATAAGTGATAAGTGTTCAGGGTGGATTGGTATAGTTAATGGCGAATTGAATGAAAAGCTGGACCATGAAGCACTTCAATTGAATAATCCTGGATGCCATTTTACCATAAAAGGTTAATAATATTCTGACTAATATGCAAATCCAGCAGGCCATAAATACGATTTTCGACAGGTACGTTACTTCAAAATTCTCCTACTGGTAGTTTTTTGTTATTGTATTGTTTTTGAAACAGTTTACGATATTAAAGTTGAAACGTACATAGATAATACAAAAAACAACACGGATTTTTTTACTATTAGAGACCTTCAGATGCAGTCCATCAATGACAATACGACGTTGCTTAGCTACAAGCTGAACCACTGTAAATTCCCCTACGAATGTTTATCCGATTTTAATAATTTTTAGAATACACGCAGCCACCACAAAAACTCAACAGAAAAACCTGACCATTTTATCACTTATTCAAGATAAATCGATATGTAAAAAATTCTTGAATTCTAATAAGCTTACGTAGGTGTTTACCTTTTTTTGTCACTCAGTATATTATAAATTCATTATTGGAAACAACCGAAACTTTTTGCATCTTGTTTTAGTATCTTCTGAGTATGGATTTCGAGATTTTGTACTTATATGGTTGAAAATATACTGCAAAAGATGCCAAATCTAAACACACTTGCCACCTCTTTAGAAAGGCCAAACTCCTGAATTTACATCTGACAACATACGCTTCCAGAGTATTTAACATGGAACCAAAATATCATTAAGCGAGACCGACGGTCAAACATATTGTGATTGACTGATCAGGTAATCAGACCATAGACTAATCCAACGAATTTAGTAACAATCTAAAATACTTTTAAATAATGCAAATTTCTTTTGGTTGGATCGCGAGGTTTATAACATCGATAAGAAATTTGACTGACGTACTTAGAATCGGCAATTTTAGGGATTGCATCTTTTGGTAATAGATAATGCTAAAAGCAAATGAAACGTTATAATTTTATTTAATGATCTAAGTCGATGAACAAAAGTTAAAAGTTAAAGCGGAATGTGATCTAATTTACGAACCAGCAAAAATGACGTCACTTCCGTTATGACTATATTAATTTGAGATTATAGTCAGGTACGAAACTAGCGACACCGAAACAAAGAAATGGCAGCTGTTTCTTTGGCACTAATGACTGTGCTGATGACAGATAACAGGAATGACGTCACCGTAACTGTACGAGGAGGTACCCAAAAATAACCGCATAGCATTGCAGTGGGCGGAGCTTGGGTAGTACACATTTCTGCCCCTAGAGGCGTACAGCGCAACTCATTACCAGTTCAGTGCGACCTGAGAAGTCGATCTGGCTTTTTTCGGAGGATTGCTGCCAAATTTGTTTCTCGGGCTCTGACTGACAATCAAAAAGAACACCGAGTTGAAACATATCGTGCTTTGAAACAACAGCGTGAACCTGATCCAAATTTTCTGTCAAAGATCATCACTGGTGATGAGACTTGGTGCTACGGTTATGACCCAGAAACGAAGCAACACTCAAGTCAATGGAAGACGCCATCGACACCCCGTCCAAAAAAATGTCGTCAAGTCAAATCAAACATCAAAACAATGCTGATTTGTTTTTGTGATGTCAAAGGCGTAGTTCATTCCGAGTTTGTTCCCCCAAGTCACACTGTCAATCAGATCTTTTATTTGGAGGTTTTAAGACGATTGCGAAACAGTGTTCGGCAAAAAATACCCGACTTGTGGCAATCAGGAGACTGGTTCTTCTACCACGATAATGCACCTGCACACACAGCCATCTCTGTTCGACAGTTTCTAGCTAAAAATGGTTCCGCTGAAAAGGTCGAGAAAAAAACGAGGGAGGAGCTGTGAGACATTTCTAAGGAAGACTTCAGTGGAAGCATCGGTGAGTGGGACACGTGTATTAGTTGTTTGTCCACAGTATTTTGAAGGAGATAAGGTTACTTTGTGAAAAAGTTGAAAACAAATAGCTTTTAAAAAATAATTCCGTTTTTTTTTGGTACCCCTGGTATATCCTAGTCTACAGGAGCATTTTAGCTGTTGGATTAAAAAGTAACAGATGTTTCATATCAGTGGTGACAAATAACAGTGACGTAATGGTAAACAGTGGAAAAAATTTAAACTCTTAACCAGAACTAATCATACACTATAATTCGTTCTATCTGGGATCTTGTCAAATAAAAGCATAAACAAAAATGTCACAAGCTCCTTGTTATTATAATAAAACCGAAGATCTCTTCTCAAAACTATCATAGAGATAAGTAGTATTAACACCCTCACGCGAAACTTTTTGGCAACCCCGTATACGCTTTTATACCCCTTATGTCTATCTCACCCCTTCTATAGCACCCCCTATCTCTTCGTCTCTCTCACAGCTCTCGCTACATTGAAAACCGTATTGGGCGACCGTATTCCCAGACCACGCCCCCCTCTAAAACTTCATTGGTCTGATTTTACCCTGAACCGTAAGTTCACCCCTATAGGAACCCTGCAACGAAATACGCTTTTCTAAACGTATGTCACCCCTCCCTCTCACTCTCATTGAAGCTATATTTGTCTATCCTTGTCCGATCCGGAGTGGGACGCAAGCTGCTTGAAGGGATCGCCCGAAAATCCGGCAATATTCAGACGCGTACTGTCTGTTTTTTCGCATTATGCATTGTGAACTCGAGGTGAACGCAGTGCTGCCAGAGTAAGTGAATAGTGACGTGACATGGAGATCCACAGAAGCATGGAGTTGAAAAGTGAGTTGAAGTGCGACGAGGGTCATACGGTGACCTCCAAAACTGTGAAGCGACCCTTCGATGTGGCCTTTTTGATGCTTCCTGATGACAAGTTGAAGCACAAAGCTGCAAGGATCTCTGAAGAACAATTGGCGAGCTTCAACAACAACGATGAAGACGAGGAGATAGAAGTGGAAGATAAGCCACCACAGAAGTTAATGTTCACGCAGAAACAGCAGATTTTTGATGACCCCAACATCGTCAAATCCAGAACGACGAATCTACCGATCAATCAGAAAAGTGCATTCACCAAAGTCAACGTGAACAGCAAGGATTCGAGGCACTCGCCGAGCTTATCAGTAAGTCCTGATCTCAGTTACCAAAGCTCTTTGAGTCCGTCGCCACCAATCAACAATCGCACGTATCAGAACTTCCCTGCTACCATTCTAACGCCGAACCAGATCTTCAAGAACCAACAAATCGCATATCAGAACCAGTTCTTGCCTGAAAGCTTTCAGCATGCCGCTTCAAGCTTAGAAAGCACATTCTTCAAAGGTCAACCTGAGTTGGTACAACCGAACTTCGCAAAGTTAAGACCTGCAGTGTATCGTCCCGAGCTTCCGTACAACTACCATCAGTTCCAAACGCCGGAAATGCTGAAACTGTCACCTCCTGACTTGAGAAACCCTGCTGCAGCGATTCTAACCTCACTTTTACCCCCGTCTTTGGCTGCGTTGTCCTTGCCAGCTCAAAACGTGTGCGCAAAGTGCAACATATCCTTCAGGATGACCTCTGACCTTGTGTATCATATGCGGTCTCATCACAAAAACGACAGTGGGGATATGACGAAGAAAAAGAGAGAGGATAAGCTGAAATGTCCCGTTTGTGCCGAGTCCTTCAGGGAAAGACATCATCTAACTAGACATATGACAGCTCATCAGGATAAAGATGATGATGAAAAGGACACCAAGAAGGGTTACTGAATTATCCGTGGTGACCATGATATTTCATTACTGTAATTGTTAATTCAGTGTGACAGTTATTGTTTTGTATATAGTGTGGTAGTATTATTTGATTCAAATGCACTGTGATATATCCAAAGGCGTTATCTGCTATAAACAACTTCTGGGTTGATGTGGTGTTTAAATTATTTTAATGATAATACTTATCGCTCTGTGTACTAGCAGGTGTTTTGAAAGACTTAAGAAATTTATTTAAAATGTTCCTGTGGTGTTAAAAGTTTGGATCAAGAAAGAAGGAATTTTGTAGATTTTTCCCAGTCAAAATGGAAGTCTCAATTTGAAATATCAGATCTAAATACATTTTTCGTGAACATCAATGACAAAAACCTTCCACTGAAGATAATCTTCAAATTCAAATGTATGTATATCAAACCTAAATAAAAAATATACTATATTAATGAACGTGCAAATTCAAACTTGATGATTGTATTATGGCCAGGAAATATTCTTCTTATATCGGGAATAAACCCAAATTAGCAATACTAGATGTGAAGAAATATTTAAAAATGCAGTTTTCTGAATCTAAATACAAGCCAGGAAGGTTATTCATATTTGACGGGTGTTAAAATAAGAGATGTTACCAAAGACATATGTCTAAAGCGTTGTCTCAATGGCAGTCAAATTTCCAAAATAAACTTTAATGACACTGTATATATAATGTTGTAACAACCGTAATATTGCAAATATGATGAATCATTTTCTTGGCCTTCTTGTATTTCCATTTCTCTCCGATTTAGTGAATATTTGTATGAAAAAAAATGTGTAAATAATGTAGATAATGGTTTCGTTTGTTAATTTTGTTACCTATGTGCAATATTATATTTATTGGTTCAAATAAAGCTATACATAATAATTGCATATTTGTTTCACTGACACATATTCTCCCTAAGCGACCTGCACCTTTAAAATCAATTTTATAAAGTCCTTAATTAGAAGATTTGATAAAAAAAAATAAACTTGATTTTAAAGCAATTTAAGGGTACAAAGTTGCGTTTTTTTTTGTATGTTTTACTGCACTAGATGGGAATATAAAGTATTAGGCTTAATTTCTTTTATAGAAGAAACATTTTATTGTACTCTACTTAACTGATCATGCAACTCGATCGCTTAAAAATGGCGTCAGCATAGCGCTTAGCTGATACCATGTTTTGCAAGAAATATCAGTTGGTTGGTGAGGATTTAAAATTATAAGAGACAAGTTTTCAATACTTTTAATTCCAATTCAGAAATATAGTAGCTTCGGAATCGGTCGAAATATTATTTGTTTTTTCAAATTAGTACTTCGTCTGTCGGTGTGTTGTAACAGGTAACGTAACTTTATTTTTGAAAAAATGTCATCATAATCATTTAAAAATTCGTTAATTCATGTTTGACTGTAGTGAACCAATTTTTCAAAATAATGATCCCAAACGTTGGATTCGAGGACTAGAGAGTAGTAGACACTTGTGTATGTGTATGATTTGAAAAACGTATACCTTTATAGATTTTTTTTATAAACTATAAATTTGTTAGGATTTCAAAGCCTGATATTGGATTAACTTCAATGTGCAGACAGTAAGGAGTCAACCAACTTGACGCCTAATCTCGTCTTCACCATATACGCACAAGAGACACGTGCCCTGGGTCTTGGCCTAATGGAGGGTCCCAAATATCCAAAAACCAAACGGATTTTCCAAAAATATATCGAAGTAACCCCACTCTCCCATTTTTCCCAACGGTAAAATGTCCTACATGCCTCAAGACACAAATACAATACGATTCGTATAATATAAAAAAATGTAATTCATGTTTCATCCTTCTGTATGTCTTGTGTCTGGCAGTAAACCCTTGGTCTGCCCAAAACTCGAGAAACGTTTTATTAATCTCTACCAGTGGAGCCAGAAATATGGTCATAAAGAAAATTGTTTTTAGAAGTTTCCAATTCTCCTGATAACCTTCACAATTTTTTGAAAACTGAGTAATCGGGGGAGGGTCGACTCATGATATAACAAATGAGCGTAGAAACACCGCACCCCAATATGTTCCCACGTCAGAACTCAACATCATAATCATGGGACCGAAATCGTCGTTGCTAGTCGTCTCCCATGTAATACCGTGTCATGGTCCATTCAAACTCGGGACGCTTACAAGCCGTGCCGAATGGATTTATGCCGTTCCGGCCCTGCACGAACGCAAGGCGATTGGTCACGCATAGACACGCGTCTCACACGCGTAGGGCTTCATACCTCATTGGTTTTTAATGGAGATCCCAGATGCTGGCCGGATTTACAAATTGGATCGAGGGATGCTTCATTTTCGTTGTGTTGACACCCTTGACGTTTAATAATAGTAAGATTAAGATTCTACGAGCTGGCCTGGTGGGTCATATCTGAGATCAAGCTCAAGTTTCTTCTGGAGATTATCTAAGAAGCTTTGCAAAATTTTGGTCGAACGGTGCGGCCTCTAGACCCCTCAAAGTTTGAGGAGGTCGGTAACAATGTGAATTTTAGCGTTTTGGCAACTGTTCATTTTCTTGCTACTCCTGACCCTGAAAGTATTATTTATGATTTATGACTAGGGTCAAGTGGGGCAAAAACGAGACGATTTTTAAATCTTTTCATTTTTTGTCAACAAAAAATCGGACTTTAAGGCTTTGTTATATTGTCCTATACATATATAGAAAGCCATGTAGTATATACCTCACGTTAAAAAAGTTCATAATATTCATAATGAAGGGCGTTTTTGTTAAAAAATCGTGTCTCGTTTTTAACCACTATTTAGGCTAAAAATGAGACAGTGAGAGGTTAAAAACAAGACACTGTATTATTTTCTGGCCTTTTGGTCATTTTACATCAGTGTGGCAAAATATGAGACCCTGGGGAATAATAACGAGACACACTGCAAGGGTTTTAAAGCGTTTAGTAAGTCAAATAACATAGTTAGGTTTTAAATTGTGACAACGTTCTTAAAGAAAACTCACATAATTAAATACAAAACTATGTTTATCAAACTAAAAAGAAAACAAATCCAAAAACAAGTTAAATAAACCATACCTAATTCAAAAAAGGGGTAAAACAAGATTTTCAATAGGATTTTAAGAGCTAAAGTAGAATACTTATTATTCTAACGTATTTTGTACTACATATTATTGAACGACGTATTTTTCAAAGTCAATAGGAAACCAATATTGCTGAGAGATACGACAGGTCTTACTTTCTATTTCTGGCTGGGGAAGTTTCATTTCTATGTCACTTTTGTCGATGAAGTACTTTTCCTCAATAAATTTAAATCCTTTGCGCCTCAGATATTTTACTTCTACATCGCTCTCAAAAACTTTAAGGATTTGTGCCACGCAGTGCGTTTTTTGCGTTTTTTTGACTTAGTCTATTGCGCTTTCAAAAATTTTTAAACCAATCTTTACCAGGCTTTCCTTCCTTAAACTGGGCAGTAAGGTGGTTTTCTTGTACATAGGTTTGAACTATTGCTTGTATCTCTGGTTTAGTGAGAGCAAACCCCCATTTTGCCATAATTTTTATCTTATCACTTAAGTCTACTTCCATTTCTTTGGTTAGAGAAGTTTTTCTTCCCTGTTTACCAAGTGAACGAGTACGTCTTCTCGAAAGAGCAGATTTGTCAATTTTAAACTGTTTAGCTGCCATTATCTATTAGTTTTAGGGCTGTTTCCATGTTCTTTTTGTCGTAGGGGCGCTTTTTGGGAACGTAAACCTTCGGCATTATTATCAAAGGTATAACAGCTGTCTTGTTTTTTACCTGGCAAGTGTCTTGTTTTTAAACTTTGTGGTGTCTCGTTTTTGCACCTGTTATTCACGTCGTGCCTGCTTACCAACAAATAAAAATAGACTAAATTCGATATGGAATATCATAGCCGCATTTGTCATTTTGAAAACGCGATACTTGCCGAGTCTCTACGATCACGTACAGCGGCGCAACAGGAAATGTTTGTAAATACAATTTAAAAGATTTTTTAAGCAAAATGCACAATCAGATGCGATAGTTTTTTTCTCGATGTTTGTGTTTACGTTTATTTATTATTCATTACATATTTCAATTGTATATATGTGGAAGTAATTTGTAACGTATTTTTTACAATGTTATTGTTTTTTGCATTTGCAATTGAATGTCTTGTTTTTGACAGAAATTTCGGCTGTCTCATTTTTGCACCACTTGACCCTACACTAAAGTCAAATTGTCCAAGGAACTCAAAAACGTCCTCAAAATTATGATCTGATAAATAGTTCGACAAATATTCTAGTCGAATTTGAATTATTGAGTTAGCAATACCAAAATGAAAAATCAAAAAAATTAGTATTATACTCGGGCGCTTAAATTAGAGGAAATGGATGTACTTTTGTTTGTTTTGGACCAAAATTCATCATTGGAGAAAGGTCGGGCTCAATTTTTTTCTGTGCCTGCACCTACAGAGGCATTGTAAAATATTAGATTCCTAGGTCGAACGTTTCGATTAGGAGGCGCGAACAAAACTTGAAGATGCGGAAAAAATGCAAAAAATGTGAAGTTACGTAGGGGGATCAGAAAGAAAAGGATTAATTTTGTGTATTCTTTGTTTAACATTCATATCGTCAGCCCAATAAAAATATTCAAAAAGTTTAAAAAAACCAGCCTTGACTGCTGCTGAACAAATTATCATAGCGTAATTAAGATTCCATTTTTGAGTTCCTTGGACAATGTTACTTCGAAAGTCATATACAGGGTGCTTCACAAGTCGTGACCAAAAATAAAACATCATACACAGGAAATCATTTTAAGAGGGGGTCTTCTATGTAACATTTTTTCCTCGAGGTCTTCATTAAAAATATACGGGAGTGTTGAAGTTTAAAAATGAAAAACAATTTTTTGTAATATCTTCAACACCATCAACTGGAATGAACTAAAATTTGGTATGTGGATTTACCCAACTATTATACACTTTCAAAAGTGTTTACTTAGAATTAACGTGCACCAGTGGCGGGGATACAGGGCATTAGTGGCATTATTAATCCTAATAAAAATAGTACGCCACTGTTTTTGTAAACGCTCAATTTTTCAAATTTTACCTTCAATTTGCTACAAATAATTACTATTGTGTTTTTTTACTAGAGTGCACTATTTTCGCAAAAATAAAAATAAAACAAATTCTACAAATTCCCTGTATCTACGCCACTGGTGCACGTTAATTTTAAGTAAACACTTTTTAATGCGGTTTTGAAGATATAAAAAAAAGTTTTTTATTTTTAAACTAAGAAAAAAGGTTACATAAAAGACCCCCTTAAAATACGGCCCTGTTTATGATGTTTTGTTTTTGGTCACGACTTGTGAATCACCCTGTATAGTTGAGCCCGATGCTGTCCGCTAAAATTCACAATTTTCCCGAACCTTCAAACTTTGAGCCCGTCTCCATACCGAACCGTTTGACCTAGAACTCGGTTAATTAGTTTTCGGTTGTAACCATTGTTCATCCGATATGTTGTTTAACACGGTGTTTGTTTTGTTTGTTGTTCTTATTGATTTTATTTTTTCCCAGCTTCTGAGCTTCTTGTGCCTCCTATTTGGCTGTCAGTATATGCACATTTGGTTTCCCATGCGTTATTTTTCTTTCTGATTACTTCCTGTTTTACTTCTCTATTCATTCTTCTGTACTTTGTTCTAGTTTCATCGTCTCGGTTTTGTAGTAATTTTTGATACATTTCTTTCTGTTGTTTTGTTTTTCCTCCAATCTCTTTGTCCCACCAATATGTCCTTTTTTCTTTCAGTCCTAATGCATAGTTTTATGTGTTCGTACTCAGTGGTTCTTTCTGCATCCGTCAGTTTCTGTGCCAGTCTCCAGGAGTATAGTATATAGTATGTATATCATTTTATTTGAATAATTTCTTGGGCGCGGAAATATGTATATCATTATGTTGGTTGGCTGTCTTCAGGTTGAATACATTAATCTAGGCTTTGGTAGTTAAGCTCCAACGCGTATCCAGTCTACATTTAACGTATTTTAATAATAATAGTGATACGAGGATGACACTATTTGTCATCATCATTCCTAAATAATTTTTGAACGCCATCATAACGTAATTTTAACAGCATCGTAACCACTTAGGGCTCCACATGGCGGTGTACAGAGAAGACAATTAACTAAATTCATAAATATAGGGATGGGCTAGTCGCATCAGAATATATATATATATATATATATATATTCTGCGCTCCTTTTTGAAAATTTTGAAATTTAGACTGGAAACAGTTTGACCTCTGTATAAAGCCGTTTTTAAGAAAAACACTCTTCTTTTCCTCATACTTTCCTCATACATAGTTCTATCAATTTTGGTAATGGATTCAGTATGCTGTTTCTAAAATTTTGAAAATACAGTAGCTCTGGTGACATATTCGTAAACAACAACCAGAAAAAAATTTGAAAATGGGCTGCTATGTAGGTAAATCGATTGGAACAGACTTTTCTCAGAAACGGTTTCCATAAGAACCAAACAATACCTAAGGTTTTTCCTACTGAAAGATTGCGCTTCCAGAAATATCATGTTCGAGTCATTTTGACTGATATTTCGCAAAAACTGGTCCGTTCTTGGCAGATTAAATGAGCTGGTCACTACAGTGTCAAAATTTAGTTAATTTGTAGTTATTTAAGAAAAACCGAAATCCAATAGCATTCTTTAGAGGCCTGTATATCTGTAGGGAAGCCCAATAGTGCAATAATTCTTATGTTTTACTTGCTTCCGAGACGTTTCTATCTCAGGCCGCGATTATGAGGGGCGGTTAGAGCGTCGAACCAGTAATGGGCCGACCCAAAGGCTTGCGGGTTCGAATCTCCGCCTTGTAGGTTAATTTAGAGTCATTGATGTTGTTTTGTTAGACACATCGCGTAGTTGTATCTGGTTTGTTCAATAATCAGTTACCATTAAAAAGCTTCTCAATGACCAAGACGAATACTGCATTTTTCTTGACCAAGACTTCACCTGCAAGACCAAGGCCAAAACTGTGTTGCAAGGCTCTTTCAGTCTTACAAAAGCTGCTTGGCAAAAATATTGATATCTGACAATTTCTACATTGAATTTGTCGAATGCGTCGAAAAGGTTAAAATTTTAGTTTTGCGCACACATCTCTACAAATTTGACCATATTTTCCCAAATTTTACGAAATTATTGTAATATTTTGTACCTTTATCGATACAAGAAGCTTCGACGTTTTTACATACGTACTCGTATATTATACTGCCTGTTAACTTTTATCCAGATCAAATTGAAATCCAAAGTTTTCTATATGCGTATTATGAAATATCAGCAGCGTGTTAAGGACACTTTGTCCCTTAAGATAAGCACAGACCCCTATTAAAGAAAAATGTTTTATAGAAATATTTATTTTCATCCTCCTCGTATCCAGAAATTCTGTGTCTAACATCTGCTTTGACACTAACGGAATATTTAGAACATATTTCCTTGGAATTCACAAGTTGGAATTTTTAAGATGTTCTTTATTATTTGATCCCACGCTTTGAAAATATCCTTTCTAAAAAAATAAAAATATTATAACAAAAGATAATAGATCAGACGAGTATGTTAATTGGCTAAATTTGTCGTGGAAATAAGCCGTTTAAGTAACATTTACTCAAGTAAAATGTTGCTGGTTTCAGTTCTTTAGGACATTAATGTTAATTGCTCTAAAAACAGACAGGTTGAATTATAAAGATACTTTTGCTATATCTCAAAAATTAAATTTAAACCAAATAAGCAATATTTTAGTTGAACATGATAGAATTAAATGGTTCCATTTAACCAATTATCCAATTAGCCTTCTTCTGTTCTTTATTAATAAAAGTGTTTTTCAATTGTATACTAAAATCGTATTTATAATGCAGAATTTCTGAAAAAAAATTACAGTCTGTAAAACGAAGATAAGCAATATTTTACTTAAGCATGGCAGGTTCCAATGCTTTATTTTGGTCTCATTTATTAACGTATACTCAGGTTATTATGGCCTTAATATAATGGCTTTATAATAATAATTACTTGAGTTTACGAGTGAGAAGCAATTATCACTACTTAAGTCCCATTAGGAATTATTATAAATTATTGTCGTAGTAATCAACTTAGCGAAGTTAAAAAATGTATACCGAAAAAAGGGTTAACTCTAGACATTCTATATGCGTCACTACTATTACGCATTGAAAGTAATATGCAACTATTTTAACCAATTCTACCGATTTTTTAACCAATATTTAACCGTGTGGAACTAGCCACTGTCAAACAACAATTACAATTTTATAGATTATATCCCATATTATCTAATATTTATATTAATATTTGTATTAATATTTATATTAATATTAATCACTACAGCGGATTCAGAATAGTAAAACAAGAGCGCGATGATTCCGTAAATACGATTTGAAGAGGGTGTAATATAACAAAATGCTTTGATTATACAGGGTGTTTGGTGCGTCGTTTGCCAAATTGAACTGGCGGACAGAGAAGGTCTTTTTCTATCACCCCAGGTTCCTCAAACAGTTTTTAGCCCAACGGAATTAATTATGTAGATCTTTTAATTTTTTTTAGTAAAAGCTCCAAAATGTAATACACAAAGTGAAATAATAAAAAGAGAGTATGTCCACCTAATGATTAATTTTTCTTAATGGGAT